TATATTTTCAATGAAATAGGGAGAAATTTAAAAATGAAAGCTAATCTGTATGACATCTCCATTAAGATGATCCATAGACACCTCAAACTCAGTATGTTTACATTGATAAAGTTTGGATTTCTATATATTATTTAAAAAGAGGGATCAGACTTTCTATGTATTATACTATGCATAATGTACAGTAAAACCCAATGTTAATGTAGCTCATTATATATGGATCCAGTAATATAAAATAAAAGATTCGTGGAAAAGGCCTTTAAGTTGAGGCTCAGCGATGACTGAGTCCAACCACCCTTTTCACCTTTCTAGCCCTCTACCTAAGAAATTGTCTATATTCACAATCATTCTTACTTCTTTCTGAATAAGAGAATAAAGTCTCCTATCCTTCAGCTGAAGGCAAAACCTTTCTTTGTGTCCATGACTGCAGTCCTCTGTGATCTTCCTTCATTAGTTATCCCCTTTCTCATTTTTCTGTTGGATATTTTCACACTCTTCTCTCTGCTGACTCTTCCACTTCAACCTATAAACATGTTCAAGTCTCTTCCATTCTATGAATATACCTTGCCCCTACCAGTATTTCTCCAGTTACCAATCTCATCTCTCTCCTCTCTTTTTCATTCAAAATTCTTGAAAGGAGATATCCAGAATAAATTTCAACTACTATTTTGACTTTAGTTCTCTATGATCTAGTTTTTGCCCTTACTGCTCCTTCAATGAAACTGCCCTCAGTGCTCAGTGAAGTCACTAATGACCAGCATCTGCAAGTAGATGTCAATGTGAGTAGTCCACGATGCTTGTATCTCATGTGCTTTTATAAGCTTCTGCAGGTAGATATGACCCTCCTTTGGTTGTAACTTGTCTCTAATTCCTAAAGGTCTACTTCTGCTGGAGCATTTTCCCTGAGAATCAAAGAAATTGCTAAGTGGGGTTCTGAGGAGAGACGACTGTAATCCCAAACCAATTTGTACAGTCATATAGCATCTAATGCTGGAGTCTCAAGGGTAATGATATTGGTAAACAGCAAATAAGCATGAAGGGGGAAGTTTGTATGTTCGTGTTACTGTACATAACCAAGTTTTGCAAATAACAACATAAAAATGGACTTTTGTGTATATTTAGTAAGGAGGGGTTTACTGAGCTCACGGTGGCTATTTTCATTACATACATACCCAAAGAGAATGGATTATCTGTCAACAACTATCTTTGAAAAATGGAAAGCAAAACATTTTCTAGCAGTCAGAAGCTCAACAGTGTCACCCTGACTACTCTGGTGTTATCTGAGTATCAGGACTGAGTGATGAAATCTTGCACTACCTTTGCTGATCAGTGGAAGCATTTATAAGTTGATAGGAAAGATCATTGGTGTCAATGCCTCAAATAATTTCACTATGTATTACAGTGTATTATTGTTAATGTTTCGATTTTTAGCAAGTGAAATACTGATTATTCTAAACCTTTCAAAACCAGCATAAGTAAATTTTACTAATGTGCCAGTGAGAAAATGAGAATTGTAAACATCATTTTGGGGAATGAAAAAAAAAAAAAAACATATTAGGAATAATACTCAGGGAAAATTTTAACTGTAGGACCAGGATGGCTTTCCAGTATAAGTTAGAAATGGCAAATAAAAAAACTTAAATGTATTCAAATGTATGTGCATCACAGTTCCGTCACATGAACAATGGGTCTCAAGCACCCAGGTAATCTTCTGCTCTCACAACTAAGTCAGCTAGACACCAAAGGAGAATAAGAGGAAAACTTAACCCAGAGGAATAAGCATCCTACAAGCCATGAACCACACATGATAAGCTATTTAAAATGGGGCTGGTAGGCAGAATCACCAAATAAGCCTCAGCAACGGGGCTTTCCCTTAGTCTAGGGACAGTATCCACATGGAACCCCTATTACCTCACACCAAAGCTGTGCACTGCTGGCAGCTATGACCCTGCTGGCAGAAATTCGCAGAAACCTTCAATTCTTGATAATAAAATGATCCTTATTTAATTAAAACAAAACAAAACAAAAAACCAAAACAACAATGATTGACGCTATTTTCACAAGTGAAAAAAGCCAGAAGATGGCAAAAAAGCATAGAAGAACATTCTCAAGCCATTCCCACTATTATTTTCTTAGAAAGTTGGGAAGACATAATTTATCTTTAAAGGTATATTTAAGTAATTCTTGGGCCTTGAACTTGGCACCTAAGTGAGAGGCTTTTCTGGAGTGCTATATTCACTCTCCAGCATTGTTCTGCAGTTGTCTACAACGGCATCATCAGTAGTGCAAATATGGTTATAACTGACATACCTTCATGGCTTTGCTTCTTCACAGGTATCACAAAAAAATACCCTTAGAGAATGACTGAGGGATAAAAATGATGGATTGTTGTTGATTTCTAAATGCAGCTGGCCTTTCATTGTCTTTAAGATGAAAACAAATCCTCTGAGTTTGAAATGCTAACCGGTATGTACACTGGCTTTTTAGGTTGAACCTAAGAAGATAATAACATTTCCAGCTATGATTCTGAGTTTTCTTCTAATTGTACTTTGATCAAACTTTATGTCAAATAATTTGCCTGCCAAGATAGGCACTTGCTCAAGATTTTAATTCTTAAAATTATAAGTAAGGATATAAAAGGTGAGGTTTTTAAGATGTTATATTCCTCTTTCTTTTTAAAATCTTTTTTATTTTTTTGCTTAAGTATTCCTCTTTAATTTCATGAGCTATGTTTTTTGCATTATTTCGCTGAAGAACCTAAAAGGAATAAGTAAATGAGAAAGCAACATGCACCTAAATTCTTTGATGCACAAAGCACACAAGTTTTGTAGCTATTTCTTTTTTACATTTCTAAGCCTTGCTAATCAATATTAATTAAACATTAACCAATTCACAAAATATTTGGTTAGGGAGTACCATTCCCCACAGAGGGTATACATGCAGTAAAGGCAACAGAGTTGGCATTTTTAAAATATCCACCGATGATAAATCATTTTTCAGACTAGATAGTTATTGTCATGCTCTACTGTTTTATCTTTTACATTTTCATGGTGCACAGGAAGATTCAATTCTGATGTGACAGACATCCCATAATGACCACACTAGATAAAAACTAAAATTCCCGTAATATTAAGTTAGTCTGTTTTTATCATTTAGCCCTATCTCTTAGTTTTATTTACCAGAAAAGATTACATCTGCAAAGTTATTTAAAACTATAAATCTGGCCGGGCGTGGTGGCTCACGCCTGTAATCCCAGCACTTTGGGAAGCCGAGGCGGGCGGATCATGAGGTCAGGAAATCGAGACCATCCTGGCCAACATGGTGAAACCCCGTCTCTACTAAAATACAAATAATTAGCCGGGCGAGGTGGCGGGCATCTGTAGTCCCAGCTACTTGGGAGGCTGAGGCAGGAGAGTCGCTTGAACCTGGGAGGTGGAGCTTGTAGTGAGCCGAGATCATGCCACTGCACTCCAGCCTGGCGACAGAGTGAGAATCCATTTCAACAGCAAAACAAAAAAAACCTGAACAATGAATCTTTGAACAGCTTCTTTTACAAAGGTGACATCAGAAAAAGAAAAGACTGCATTAAGGGGGATGAAGGATGTATTACAAGGAGCAGCTGAAATGCAGGTTCCCCACCCATAGTACAGTGCTATTTTGGTGCTTCATATTTGTCTCAGCTCATACTTACAAGGGAAAAGAAACATGAGTTACTAATTTCAAACTTTAAAATGTCAGGAATGTAAAAACTAGAGGCTTCAATTTTTATTTGAAACCAAGGCAAAGACATTTCATTTAAAAGGAATATATTCAGATAGGTGCAAACTTGTCAAGATGGACTTTCAGTGCTCATTTCACAGATACAGAGGCACACAACCCACTACGCAAGCCATGTCACAAGAATGTTTTGTTTCTGTGAGTTCATGAAACGAATGGGTACTCATGTTTCTGAGAAATAAGAATGAAGCCATGCGTTCAGCAGTGTTTTTGCTACAGTAACAGTTTTTAAACTGCTCTGCGGAATCTCCAAGGTGCCTCAGAGGAGGCAGCATGCCCGGGGAGGAGGAAGAGGCATGCAGGTGGGACAGGGACCTCGCCAAAGTAGATCCAATATAATGGGCTTCCCACATACGGTTTTATTTGATGGAGGGGAAAGATTCTGCTATTAAAATCTTTCAGAAACTACACATTTGAAGTTTTAAAAATTACAGAAAACAGTAACACTGAATTCTAAAATAAAGCTTTCATGGAGAAACATAGTTCTGGATCGGAATAAAGAGGTGAAAAGAATATATGATGGTTTCTTCAGGCAATACTTTGCTTTTATAATTCCCAGTGTAGCTGATGTAACTTTCACCTACTAGTCTTTCTTATTATTTATTCTCAATTGGAAAGTAGAGTCAAATAGTGACAACTTGATGAGAATGAATTTCCTTGACAGATTTATAGAAAAGCTTAAAAATGTCTTTTCCAGCATTTCTTTATTGCTCTGAGAATTCTCTTCACTGTTCTCATGTGCTGAACGACCTGTTTCCTGGATCCCATGTTTTTTCCTTGTTTTTGGTGGAATGCATTTACTAGTAACTTCCTAAAAAGACATGCATGAAGATAAACATATTTTAGGTCTTGCATGTCTAAAATGAATTTATTCCATCTTCACATATGATTTCATTGTTTGGCTAGATATAGAACTCTAGGTTGGAAACAATTTCCCCTCAGAAATTTCAAGATAGCTCTCCTGTCTTATAGCTTCTGCTGTTGATAAATTTGTGGCAATCGAAATTTTTAGTCCTCTGAATGTGATGGTTTGAGGCCAGACACTTGGTAAAGGCTTTCCATCCAGAAGTTTAATGTTCAATTCTTGGAAAGAAGCTTTGATAGTTTTCTCTCTTCTAATTTCATTGTTCCTTCTGAGACCTCTATTAGTCAGATGTTACCATGTCTACAGTTCTCATCTCTTTGTCTTTTTGTTTGACTTTCTGGGAGACTTTTTCAACTTGATCATCCAATTCTTCTATTTGTTTTTTATTTCTACCTGAATGTTTCACACTTTCAATTAAGGAACAATTGAGCCTTCTGTTTTAGAGCTTCTGGTGCCTGTTTTGTGGTCGTAATATTCTTGTCTCTTTTTTTTTTCATCTGCTCCCTAATTATCTCTCTTCTCCCTGTGCTTGTTTTAAACTGTCTTTTATATTTTTAGCTTTCTTCAAATATTAGTGGTCCTTAGTTTTTAACTCATATTTAGGAAAGAGGCATTGAAATACCAATTGGAAACTGTGTGTGTCTATGAATATAAATATAAATTATATATTGATTGTCTAATATACTGGCTATTAAAAAGAAAATATACACTTTTCATGGGTGATTAGCTTATAAGCCATGATTAGTTTCAATATAGGGATATATTTAAACATAGCTTTACAGACATTATTCAGTTCAGACAGTGAGTCAACTGATTCTTCAAATACCTGTGTAAACTTATGTTAGGCCCCTTGGAGTTCCTCAAGATGTATCACTACTGTAGTAGCAAAAATAAAAGTTCAAAATAATACAGAACTTAATTATATACTATTTTATGTCATAAAATATAGAAAAGTTATTGTAATGAAATCTTTTGATACTAATTTGTTTTTATCTAAGAGTGTTTGACTTACATTTTTTTACATATTCAGGCAATAAATTTACCTGAGGCAAAGTAAATACAATTCTTGCTTTCAAACATAAAACCACTCCTTAAGGATTCTTTCAAAGTGAATAAAAATATGCCAAAAGGCTAATTTTGCTGTCACTGAAAGACTGTCCTGTCCAAGTGCCAAAAGTAGTGTGACTTATTTTTAATTTTGAAGAAAAAGGGAAAATATCTAATTTATGATGTGGAACTTCCACAATGGTAAAGTAGCATGTTTACTATACCAAAAGTTCCTTTGCTCCTAAACAGGGAAACTTTGCTGCAAATATAAAAGCAAAACCCATTTTCCAGAATTTAATAGTAAATAGGGAGTGAGCTATTATTAAAGAACATCAGAAATAATCTTTGGAAATTGGAAACACAAACAAAATAAAAAGAGAAAACCCTATGAATCTAAATTCTTTCTACTTTTCTTTCTAGTCAGTCTAAGGCATGGTTAATTTCTGTTTTTCAGTTTCTAAAACCTAGTGGAGGGTTTCTTTAAGAACAGTGTAACCACTGCACTACAGCTCTGAACAACCATTTTATAAAGTTTAATAACATTCTAACAGAATGACTTCTTTCAGAGCTCAGAATTATGGTCATTTGGGGATGAAGAATGAGAACATGTCAACTGTGTGTTTCATACACTGAATAACAGATATGTGGTGATACTATCCTCAGCATTAGACTTCTCAGCCTTATTACCCAAACACTGGGGTCCGATCCTAACTTCAAAAAAAGAGCAAAATAATGAGGTATGCTTATTTCCTAAACAATTATTCTAGTGGAAACAGAAACCCTGAACTTTCTAAAGTTGGTTTACTGTTTTTTTTCTTTTCAATTAACAAGACATGTAAAAAAAGGAAGAAGCTATAGGCGAGAAACTAGCAATTAACTAAAGAATATGCCGAAATAGGGACATTATGCAGGCAGTTTATAAAAAACATTAGCTTTACACATTTGAAAGTGTAAAACATTAGCTTTACACATTTGAAAAGTAAAAAACAGTATACATCTTTAATAAGAAAAAAATAAAAATAGGATTACAGATGTTTATAAATATAAATCAGGTGAAATAAATGCTGCATGTAAACTATTAAATATAGCTTAAAGAACACACCATTAAAACTGAAAACAAGATATATAAATGAAACATTTATTATGAGTATTCATAAAATCTATGGCAACACAATGTGAAAAAATTAGGCAAATTGTAAATTTTTTAATACTACATATCAAATTAAATTTGCTGATTATAACAAAATTGATTTACTGAGCACCTGTTATGTGCTTACTAGGATAAGCACCTTATATAAATTATGTCATCTAATCTGGACAACTATGAAGTTAAGGACCTCTCTTAGCCTTATTTACATATGAATTAAAAGGTCACATACCTAGGAAATGGAAGACTTGGCATTTGGATTCACAGCTTTCTCATTCCATAACTCAGGGTGCTTAACCATAATTCAATTTCATATAGTTTTTAAAAAGTTCTTAAAAGAAGAAACAGTTTTTACATGTGTATCTTTTCATATATAGATCAATTAGGTTATTATTAGAAATCAGCCTTCCATCACTTCAAATAACCAAACAAAAATAACTGTCACTACCAGAATCTATGCTGCAGAGTTAATAGCATGCTTTGCACATCTCTTTTTTAAAATCATAAGCTCCTCTCAGGTTAACAGAACCTTCCCCCCATCTCCATTTTATCACTCTTCTGAAGATCTAATGGTTTATATAAAATTTTGGAGAAACAGAATGAGGAAATAGACTGAGAATTTGGAAGAGTAGAAATAAGGTGGAATGTTAAAATGCTCAAATCGGCATTATCATTGGCTTGAGTAATTCTCCATAGATACAGATCTACTCTGGATATCAGCCTTGGGGACTAGATTATCTGGTAGGTCCTGACTAACTTGTTCACTGGATATACTTCTTCCCTATAAAAAGACTTCCATGTTTGGGTGTAAAATGGTATATTAAGTTTGTTGCTAACCAGCCTCTCATTCAATATCCACTTCCTTTCTGACTAATACTTCTTGTAAACTCACAGCAGTTTTAAATACCTGGCATAGAGTCAGCAATACAGGTATGGCAGCACAAGGTGTTCTGGAGTATGATTAGCTTTGGTGTAAACATCCTATCTAAAATAGCCTTCAGGTAAGCTGAATGTACTTTTGTTGCCAATTTAAGCAGAAGGTGAAGTTTGGAAATACAGAGAATCTCCATACACTGTAAGTAAATTGTATCTCCATACACTGAAGTTTTAAAAATTGTAAGTTAAAATGAACAACACTGTAATTCTGTAACCTTCACTTACGTTCCCAACAAAGAGTTTAAGGAAAAAGCTGGCTGCTGCATATTTCCATTCTATAACCCTTTTTATCCAAGTATCTCCAAAATCATAGATAGTGAACTTGACTAGCTGTTCTTAAGGAAGGTGAAAAGCAGAACAACCAAAGATGTCAGGGTAAAAAATCACTAGGCCTTCAACTCTCTGAGCATGTGAAATGTTCATTTCTACTCAGTGGAAAACTATTAAAGTTTGCTAAGGAGAATTTTATTAAAATCCAAGTTCTATGTACTGTCAGAGTCATTTAAGGTCCCCATTCTTCTGGTGCCATAATTAATATCTTTTGGCCACAGAAGAAAATATTTAGAGGCATTGACTAAGATCCCAAGATCCCAGCTTTCTGGACAGACTGTAAGAGAAGTGTAACCATACTACATATCTCTGGAGGTCCAATTCCTAAGGGATTCCTTATATAATTAATTTAATTTATGACAGGTATATAACCACACAGATTTTTAACACTTGAAAGGATTATAAAAAGACCATTTTCCTATCCCCTTATTAAAAGATGAAAGTGAGTTCTAGACATGATAAATGATTTGGCTAAACTTACATTGTTCTAGGTGGCCATGATGGGTCTTGGCTTTTCCCAAATTTCTTCACTTAGCATGTAGATCATAAAATGCTGAGGAAGGGAAAAGGGGAGTGGTGTGGGACTAGCTGAAACGTTACAGTCCTAAATATCTACTTTTAGCATATGCTGATTTTTGCTCTGAAGGATCCTTTCATAATTCATTTACAGCAGAGAAGCCATATTTTAGCCACTAAACAGGTACAGAGATTATGCCTTTGTTCTTACAGTTTATATTCAAAGTTATATAATATAGCTCAGAGGATATAATCCACCTTAATCTTAATATTCTAGCAATTTATACCAAGTGCTGTACCTCATGGCAGGTTTAAGTTTGCACACAAGTTCTTTTATTAAATTTATTATCATTTTTTATTTCAATAGGTTTTTGGGGAACACATGGTATTTGGTTACATGGATAAGTTCTTTAGTGGTGATTTCTGAGATTTTGGTGCACCCATCACCCAAGCAGTGTACACTGTACCCAGTGTGTACTCTTTTATCCCTCACTCCTCTCACACCCTTTTCCCTCAGTCCCCAAAGTCCATTGTATCATTCTTATGCCTTTGCATCCTCATAGCTTCGCTCCCACTTATGAGTGAGAACATAAGATGTTTGGGTTTCCATTTCTGAGTTACTTCACTTAGAATAATGGTTGCCAATTCCATCCAGATTGCTGCAAACACCATTATTTTGTTCCTTTTTATGGCTGAGTAGTATTCCATGGTGTATATATATGCCACAATTTCTTTATCCATTGGGCTGGTTCCATATTTTTGCAATTGCGAATTGTGCTGCTATAAACATGCATGTGTAAGTATCTTTGTCATATAATGACTTATTTCCTCTGGGTAGATACCAGTAGTGGGATTGCTGGATCAAATGGTAGTTCTACTTTTAGTTCTTTAAGGAATCGCCACACTGTTTTCCATAGTGGTTGTACTAGTTTACATTCCCACCAGCAGTGTAATGATATTTCCTTTTTACCACATCCACGCCCTCATCTATTATTTTTTGATTATGGCTATTCTTATAGGGGTAAGGTGGTACTGCATTGTGGTTTTGATTTTCATTTTCCTGATCATTAGTGATGATGACTATTTTTTCATATGTTTGTTGGCCATTTGTGTATCTTCTACAAAAGACATCTTTAATAGCCCAATTTATTTTTATGCAAGTGCTTATGAGGTAAATCTTAAAGTTACAGAAAGTAGTTTATATATTTGAGATGTAAAATCTCCATTTGTTTAACGAAAATAACTACATAAGGTGCTATGCTAGGCATTGTGAGGGAGACAAAGGTGGATCAGAGAAAAATAAGACACCTTGTACAGATGTAAAGCTTGTATCTACAAAAGGGTGCCCAGCCAAGGGGGGCAAATAGGGCTGAAATGTTGCTCATGCTCTGACGAGCTTTTTGCCCTAACAGAAAGTTGTCACCAAGTGGGGTAAAGGAGCACCTTTTTCTAATTCATGTAATGGTGCTTGGTAGGCTAGCTAGTGGTGGCTTCGGACACAAATGCCACAAATCTTTCAATAACACAAATCTGACCACAATGGTCGTCACATTTTTCAATGGTTCTCCCTTGCTGAAAGGAGAAAAGCAAGTTCAGATGATATTCAAGTTCCTTCACATTTAAATCTGACCTACTTTTTCTGCTTCATCCCCTACTACTTCCACATGAAGACTCTTTCTGCCAATCATATTCAACCTTTAACTGATTTTAGACCACACCATGTTCTTTCATTCATCTCTGCCTTTCCATCTGCTCATCAAAACTCAGAAAAAAAATTCTTCTGGGTATCATCTATCTCATTTAATCCCAGGTAGTGTGAGTTACTCCTTCTCCTTTCTCCTACAGCATTCTGCACATCACTAGATCATGCCACAGAAATACATTATATAGAACTTTGTTATTTATACCTTTCATTCTAAACTGCAAATATTATTCACAATACCTAGGAAATAAAAGAAATTAATTGATAAAAACAAGGTTGCTAACTTTAGGTAGCTTATACTTTTTTGGAGAAGATGAAAACAAGGTAGGTAAAGACAATTACTGTAAGAGAAAAATGTATAAAAATGGTACAGATATTTCATATCTGCTGTTTAGTTTGCTAAGTCACTATTCACAGGAATTGACAAACTTTTATCAAATATTCAGAGATGTCAAAGGGAACTGTGAAAGTTTCCAAGAATGTTGTGTTGACTCAGAGGCATTAGGAGATCGTGAAGAGTCGTTCAAGTGGAATTGAGAGACCTGCTTTCTGGTCCCAGGTTTGTCACTTATTTGCTGTGGGATCTCAGACAAGCCAATTGCTTTTGCTTGACTTTAGTTCTTTTGCTATAGCACTGCTCTCACAGAGTTAGGGTACTCAGATAGATAATGTATATCAAAATATGATTAAAACTAGAAAGTGCCACTTCAGCAAATGTTAAAACTGACATTTTTGGTTGGTAAAATGACTTAGAATCAACAATAAATCTACCACCCATCTAATATTAATGCCCACCAAGTGTGTGTGAGACAACTGCTTTGCCAGACTTTAAGAAGTGCAAGAACTGATCTCTGCCCTAGAGAATCTGTTTGGGGAGATGAGGCAGCTGCTCATGTTAAAATAACTACAGAGGCCAGACACAGTGGCTCAGGCCTGTAATCCCAACAGTTTAGGAGGCTGAGGTAGGAGGACTGCTTAGACCAGATATGGTGCGACCCCCCAGTGTCTACAAATTTTTTTAAAAAAATTAGCTGGGCACAGTGGCATGCACCTCTATTCTGAGCTACTCAGGAGGCTTGGGCAGGAGGACCACTTAAGCCCAGGAGTTCAAGGTTGCAGTAAGGTATGATCATGACACTGCACTCCAGCCTGGGCGTTAGAATGAGACCCTGTCTCATGCAATGACTCTGATATTTTAGTTTGGGGAATTCTATCACAAGAGACTTCACGTAGGAAGAGTACAGACATTTTAAGTGGCTATAATTGCTCCTTCTGTTTTCACTGTGTGGGAGAAAAAGAGAAGATGTCAGAAGAAATAAATAAATAAAACAATAAATAAATAAAACAAATAAATAAAACAATAAATAAAAAAATAAAACAACTACAGGAAAAAATATAGTAGCAGCTAAACAAGTGAAACAAAAATAAGTGTAAAAGAGTACAAAAGAATAGGCTATTTCTTGGTGGGGTGGTCATTATGGTTTAATGACAGAGTAGTTATAGTTATTTCAGTAGGTCGTGTAAGGAAAGAATACAGTTGGCCCTTGGTATCCAAGGGCAACTGGTTCCAGGAGCCCCTTAGATACCAAAATCCGAGGATGCTGAAGTCCCTTATATAAAATGGCATAGTATTTGCATATAACCTGTGCACATCCTCTTGTATAAGTCATCTCTAGATTACTTATGACACCTGATATAATGTAAATGCTATATAGTTGTTATGCTATATTTTCAAATTTGTACTTTTTGTTGTTGTATTGTTATTTTTTATTGTTTCTTTTTTCTGAATATTTTCTATTCCCAGTTGGTTGAATTTGCAGATGGAACCTGCAGATACAGGGCACTGAGTATTTTGAAATTCTGGGGCATAGATACAGAATTTTAGTGTATCTAAAAAATATACACAAGAAAGAATACAGAGATAGCAAAGAAGATCTCAAGTAAAAATAGTAGACCACTTGGTGATAGCAGCATGTTTTCATAGGGCAGTTTCTGATTAGGCAGGAAAAATAGGTTGCAGACAGTCCCCAACCCTTTTGGCACCAGGGACTGGTTTTGTGGAAGACAATTTTTCCACAAATGGGGTGGGGTATGGTTTTGGAATGAAACTGTTCTCAGGCATTAGATTCTCATAGGGAGCACACAACCTAGATCGCTCATATGCATAGTTCACAATAGGGTTCGTGCTCCTATGAGAGTCTAATGCCACTGTTGATCTAACAGGAGGCAGAGCTCAGGCTGTAATGCTCACTTGCCTGCCACTCACTCATGCTGTGCGGTACTAGTACTGGTCCGCGGCCAGGAAATTGGGGACCCCTGGTCTATAGGAGGGTGCTAAGTACTGTGGTGCTCTGCTTCACTTTGGAGACAAGTACACTGCTGCTAGCTGCTTTCTAACAATAATAAGTAGAGAGCTGAAGACCAGGTCAAATGGTCCTTCCTTAGAATCCTTATTCCTATCTCAGATGTGTTGTTTGACTGGTCAGATGAACAATCTATGCCTGATTCTAATGCAATGACTCTGATATTTTAGTTTGGGGAATACTATCACAAGAGACTTCGCGTAGGAAGAGTACAGACATTTTAAGTGGCTATAATTGCTCCCTCTGTTTTCACTGTGTGGGAGAAAAAGAGAAGATGTCAGAAGAAACGTTAATCAGTGAGATAGAAAAGTAATTTAAGGCTCTCCTTTTATTAGCTATAATAGCTCAAGCATAGTGAATAGGACCCTTCTTGAATTAATGAGGCAAACTAGAAGCTGATTTTTTTAATGTCAAGCTGGCGTGAAGATCTTGTGCTATTATTAGACCCAGGAAGGCATAGACTACAAAACAGAATTCAGGGCCTGACGGATCATTAAAAAATAAAATAAATAGACTAAGTTTACATGAAGTTAAAGCTTTTTGAAAACTCAGTGGGAAATGTATTTAACTCCAATGAATTGCTTTAGAAAGATTTTCTAGAGCTAGATTCGTAAGATTATAATAAAAAAATGACTATAGTAAGCAAATTTTACATTTTAAAGAAAAGGAGGTGTTTTTTTGCTCCTGACTGCCACATCATGAGTTGCATGCCTGCTCCCAGAAAGGGCCTGTCCCAATCGGCTCTTCCCTGTCACCGCAGTGTCCCCACTTGGCTGAAGCTGGCCTCTGAAGATGGAAGGGAGGAGATTTACAAACTGGCCAAGAAGGGCCTGACTCCCTCACAAATTGGCAATCCCAGGGGATTCACTGAAAGGAGGATAATAAAGGAGGATAATATCCAAATGCAAATAAAAATTCAACCCCACTTTTACAGATATCCGTCTTTGGCCTATGTCAGCAAATTCCGATACACAGAATAAATTATGCATCTTACTCATCACCTGTGTTCCCAAGCATAGGGCACATGGGGTAATGAGCCCAGTTATTGCCTTTTCTGTAAACATATTTATGACAGTTGATTTCCTGTTAGAGATAAAACTCTTCCAAAAGTAACTGGGATAATTTGATAAAAGAAACATGAATAAATAAGGTGGAATTGCTACAAATAACTTAAAAAACAAAAATCAAAGCAAAAGAAAACAATAGTGATAACCAAAAAGACTGACTTTCTCCTGAGAGAAACTCCCAGCTGCTTTTAAATGGCACATGTTTTTTCATTAACTGAGAGCTACAGCCAAGAAGCCAGGACAATAAGGGCCACAGCCACAGGGACAACGAGTGGCAGGTGGCAGAGATGGCTGAAAGATGCAACCTGCTTCAGTCTCCCCTCAGAGGCTACTCCCTAACGGCTGTATTCCCCTTCTAGCTGGTGACAGACTTCCTCTTGAGAGTTTCCTGAGGCTTACAAAAGTGCTTCAATTCTCTGTATAGCCTCTCCACAGAGGAAAAATGGAGTAACTTTGAGCAGAAGGAGCTATTTCAAACACTGAGCTCATCTAAGCTTTTATGGAACAGTGCTGATTGGGCAAAATAAAAAACCAAGTGAAAAGAAAATAATTTTTTAAAGTAACCTCTTCTCATCCCTGTCATTAAAAGTACCAGTAGTGGGCATGGAGGCTCACACTTGTAATCTCAGGACTTTGGGAGGCCGAGGAGGGCGGATCACCTGAGATCAGGAGTTCAAGACCAGCCTGGCCAATGTGGTGAAACTCCGTCTGTACTAAAAATGCAAAAATTAGCTGGGCGTGGTGGTAGGTGCCTGTAATCCCAGCCACTTGGGAGGCTGAGGCAGGAGAATTGATTGAACCCAGGAGGTGGAGGCTGCAGTAAGCCAAGATCGCGTCACTGCATCCTTGTCTCGGAGACAAGGGCGAAACTCTGTCTCAAAAAAAAGTACCAGTATCATCTTCATCTTAATCATCCTCTAAAACTTTTTCACTAAAAATAAAAAATGCTCACTACACTTCAACATTTTGTTTCTAAAAAACAATTAGAGTGCTAGGAATTTCCTTGTCTCTGGCTTTCCTGCCCAAATTCTTGTTCACATAGCTAATAGTATACAGTTAAATAAAATTAATTTTATATAATCTTGAATATAATATACTATTCTCTTGTGAGGACAATTAATTGATAGTAGTTTCATTTTTATACCCAAAGTGGCCAAAGAGACACTCCAACTCTGAGAAAATGGCTGTCTACAGTAGGGAGTTAGAGGGCTCCTCTTGTAATAAATGAGAACTGAAATCTATTTTTCCTAAATCTAATTTAAAAATCTTTTTTCCCCACAGTTTATCAAGTGCTTGTTAAACATGTGCCATGTAGAAGGTTCTGTATGAAGACAGAGAAACAGAAGAGAGATGAAACCTTTTATCGTAAGCATTATTTAACCTGTCCTAAATCTCCTGTTTATTAACTTTAAGACTTTTAAAGAAATAATAATAATTTTCCTAAAACAACTGTGTGAACTGCCTAACTATTCAGACCAAACCAAACCAAACCAAACCAAACAAAACAAAACCAAAACCTTCAACAGGGAACAAACCTGCCTCATCTAAATTAGAAACCACAGAACTACTAAGATGTAGCTGTTAGCAAAATTTCTATGAGTTGTAATAGTATACTAATTATAAATAGGACCACAATGGGATTCCCTCCCCAACCCAAGCATTATGGAACACAAAAATATAATTTCAGGAAAGAGAATTTTCTGCTACTTTTCCTGTGACGATTTTCAGAAGATCTCATATAAAAATTAATCACAAATGTGCTTACATGTTAGATCAAATAAGAAGTGTACTATATAAGGATTAGCAAGCCAGTACAATAATTGCTGGCATCAAATAAGGGTTTTTTTCCTTTTAGCCAGACAGAATCTCACTGGGTTTTATTTTTGTTTTGCACTTCGATGTTACTACCATGAATTACTTAAAAGTGAGAAAGGCACATTTATATCTTGCTAACTGCTCTTCCAGTTCACTCAAGTGAGAGATTTATGGTTTCTTCATCTTCCTCTTGCTGTTTCCTGCAAATTGCCATATCCTCATACATGATGCCAGCCCTTGTCTCAAATCAAAAACTGAATTCTAGAAATGTTGGAACAGTCAGTTAACCATAACTCTATGTTCATTTTTACTTTGTGGATGGTCATAAAGATCATTGTTTCAGAGGAGTTAAAGGTGAGAGCACTTCAACTGCTTCTCAAGCTACTTTCCACATGGCTTTTTATTCCCGTGGACTTGAAAAATATAAAGGAGGAAAATCAAATACAAATGCTCCTCAACTTATGACGGGGCTATGTTCTGGTAAACCCATCATTAGTGGAACATGTCTAAGTTGAAAATGCATATATGTGTTTTTTTGACTTACGATATTTTTGACTTATTATTTTCAACTTAAGATGAATTTATCCAGATATAGCTGTATTGTAAGTTGAGGAGTGTAACGAGTGTGTACCACTTTTGCACCATTGTAAGGCCCCAAAATCTTAAGTCAAACTGTCGTAAGTTGGGGACTGTCTATCTATATCTACGGCTCTTGGGGCAAAACAATGAATAAATCTGGGATTTATTTTGGCTGTTGTTATTAGCTATGACTGCATGATACACTAAGTCCAGTTTCAAATAGACTCTCTGAGTACCACTAATGATCTGTCATATGGTAATCTCTTCGGTGTTTACATAAGACGAATGAAAACAATAGCAAGCAAAATAGAATGTGGAGTCCTAGCCTACTGAGTAATTCAGAATAAAAATAATCTGCAACCTCGAACTTAAAAAAATATTAGTTTCCCATTACAAGTCCACATCATTGGTGTGACAGATGCTATTTCTGTGTCGAGGTACATAGTTAGTCCTTTCCTTAAGAAATGCAGGTAGAAAGTTGCACAATTACTTCATGCAATTTTATTTGGTAAATAAAAATAGCTTAAGTAAAGAGTTGGCAAGGAGAGAAAAAATGTTTATCTGTCATACATAAAAGTCATTTTCGTATTTTCACAGAGGTCTTCCTGTTCTTGTCAAGAGTTTATCTTCAGAGGTAAGGGCAGAGGGTCCCTTTTACTGTGAGAGAATCTTTAATACAAAATTAGACTGAGATAACTTGCCAAAATGATAAAAAGATGATAATGATACAATCTCTTTGCTTTGCCCTTTATACTCATGATATTCTAATTTCATTTCTATGCTCTCCACGAGGAAACAGCAGGGAAGGTAGTAGTATCATTTTCATTTGATGGGTAAAGAAAGCAAAGTTAGAGAAGTGTGTGATTGGTTAGAAACTGCTGTATTAAGAAACCCAGTGGAAGAATCTACTTCTAGTCTAGTGTTCTTCTCACTATATTATGCAATTCCTCTGAACACTACATTTTGAGAAATAATAGGAGCAAGTAAAAAACAATTGTGATATAATAGAAGCCACGCAAAGTGCAATTTAACTTAGTGACTATGTCATGTAATGCACTTCCTGTTTCAAGATTTCTTAGTATATGGTCATTTAAAACACCTCACAGCAAGCAATTTATTTTGCTTAATGACCTCAAGCCACTGCTTTCCTCCCACCAACGTATTTTGAAGGGAACTATCTTACCTCTGCTCCTGAGTATGCATCAGTTTGAAGGATGAGTTCATCCAGGTCAACTTCATTACTGACAGGCATGGAGTGAAACTGCAGCTTAAATATTTCCCTTCTTGTTGCTGCATCCGGTAAAGGTACATAGATGATTCTATCAATTCTTCCAGGTCGCATCAAAGCCTATAAAGAAAATGAGGCAACATGAATTAACTGGGCTCAGAACTGACATTCCACCTCAAAGACACCTAGGGAAGGATGTCTGGAATTTCACGAACAATTCACTATTATCCATAATTGGTAAATAAAACAAGTACCAGAGATTCCATAATCTATGTCACAGATACAAACAATGTCAGGAGTACTTTTGAAAATAGAAGGCTAGGCGCGGTGGCTCACGCCTGTAATCCCAGCACTTTGGGAGGCTGAGGTGGGTGGATCAGGAGGTCAGTAGTTCAAGACCAGCTTGGCCAACATGATGAAACCCTGTCTCTACTAAAAATACAAAAAAAAAAAAAAAAAAAATTAGCCAGGCATGGTGATGGGCGCCTGTAATCCCAGCTACTCGGGAGGCTAAAGCAGAGAACTGCTTGAACCCGGGAGGTAGAGATTGCAGTGAACCAAGATTGCCCCACTGCACTCCAGCCTTGGTGACAGAACAAGACTCTGTCTCAAAAAAAAAAAAAACAAAAAAAGAGAAGCAGTATTTATGGGAGGGTTTCCCTTCTCAGCAATTATCAGGTGAATAAAAGATGACTATTCTCTTTTCAAAAATGTGCAAATAATTTGCACTCATTATATCAAGAGGAATTTTTTTTGTAACTTCCTTAAATAACTATTAAAATATGGTTTAAGGACAGGCCTGGTGGCTCATGACTGTAATCCCAGCATTTTGTGTTTCTTTTGTTTTTTTTTCTTTTTGAGACAGAATCTCATCTGCCACCCAGGCTGGAGTGCAGTCTCGGCTCACTGCAAGATTCTCCTGCCTCAGCCTCCCTAGAAGCTGGGACTACAGGCACATGCCACCACGCCTGGATAATTTTTATATTTTTAGTAGAGATGGGGTTTCACCATGATGACCAGGCACGTCTCAAACTCCTGACCCTCAGGAGTTCAATCCACCTGCCTCGGCCTCCCAGAGTGCTGGGATTACAGGCGTGAGCCACCATGCCCAGCCAATCCCAGCACTTTGGAAGGGCAAGGAGGGCAGATTGCTTGAGTCCAGGAGTTCGAGACCAGCCTGGGCAACATGACAAAACACTACCTCTACAAAAGAATACAAAAATTAGCTGGGCACAGTGGTGCATGCCTGTAGTCCCAGCCACTCAGGAGGCTACCCAGCTACTCAGGAGGCTAAGGTGAGAGGATCACTGGAGCCCAGGAGGCGGAGGTTGCAGTGAGCCGAGATAGCACTACTGCACTCCAGTCTGAGTGACACAGTGAGATTCCATTAAAAAAAAATCTGTATCTATATCTGTATCTCTGTATCTATAGCTGGGCTAAGCTGTTAGCTGTTTCAGAGATACCTCAAAATAGCACAGTTTTAATAAAAGAATACTTCTAGAGCTGAATGCAGTCAAATGAGCCTTCCTAATATTTTACTAGAGGCTAATGCCTACATTATTTTACAACTAGTTAATTCACTTATTCAGAAAAATTTGGTGAGCATGTATTACATAGCAGACATTGCTCTTGGTAATAGAAGAAAGCATGAATAAGATATGTACAATTGACTATTGTGATGGTTATACATATCTGTGAATATACTAAAAATCAATAAATTAAATATTTCAAATAGTGAATTTTACGATACGTGAATTATCTCAAAGTGGTTGAAAAGAGGTATGTGTCTAAAATCTCTCTCTCTGTGTATCTACAGAGGGAATGTGGCAAGTTTTAGCAACTTTTAAAAAGAACCAAGTAGAAAAACTTACACTACTTCAAAATTTATAATGCTAAAGAAACAAGACAGCATGAGAGTATCTAGAGGATAAAGATACAGAGAAATAAAATAGAAAAAGGAAGTCCATATTGATTTTAAGGCACTCAACAAGGAAATTATCTTAGGAAATGGTACTGTGAATACTAGAAGTCCATATGAAAAAAATGAACATTGACCCTTACCTCACAGCATACTGAAAAATAAACTTGAAATATATGAGTTAAAACTATAAAACTTCTAGAAGTATAAAAGAAAAAAATGGATAAACTGGTCTTTACAAAAATCAAAACAAAATTTCTCTTCAAAATGTACCTTTAGAAAACGAAAAGACAAGTCACAGACTGGGATAAAATATTCACAATATGCATATTTGACAAAGGGCTTGTATCCAAACTATATAAAGAATCCTCACAATTCAATAATAGGAAAATAAACAACCCAAAGTAACTGAACTAAAAATTTGAACATACTTGCTAACCATACAGCTTCCTTTGTGAGGTAAGTTTGTGAAAAGATACTTAACATCATTAGCTATCAGATCAATGCAAATTTAAACCACAGTGAGATACCATTACATCATCATAAGAATGATGAAAATTAAAGACACTAACAATACCAAAGACCGATCAAGGACATGGAGCAGCTAGAACTTACATACACTGTTAATGGGAATATAAAATAGTACAACCACTTTGGAAAGCTATTTGTCAGCTTCTTAAGAAGTTAAACCTAACAACCTAATTATTTCACTCCTAGGTAGTTACCTAAGAAGAAAAAACCCATATCTACACAAAGACTCATATATAGAAGTTCACAGATTTTCCTCTACCTCCTGCGCTCAAGTGATCCTCTCTTCTCAGCCTCCCAGGTAGCTGGAATCACAGGTGTGCACCACCATGCCCAGCCTTTTTTTTTTTTTTTTTTTTGAGGTGGCATTTCACTCTTGTTGCTCAGGCTGGAGTGTAATGGTGCAATCTCTGCTCACTGCAACCTCCGCCTCCTGGGTTCAAGCGATTCTCCCACCTCAGCCTCCCAAGTAGCTGGGATTAGAGGTGCCCACCACCATGCCTGGCTAATTTTTTGTATTTTTATTAGAGATGGGATTTTGCCATATTGGCCAGGCTGGTCTCGAACTCTTGACCTCAGGTGATCCGCCTGCCACGGCCTCCCAAAGTGCTGGGATTACAGGCTTGAGCCACTGCACCTGGCCCCAGCTATTTCTTTTGTATTTTCAGTAAAGATGGGGTCTTGCCATGTTGCTCAGGTTGGTCTCAAATGCTTACGTCCAAGTGATCCACCCACCTTGGCCTCCTAAAGTGCTGAGATTACAAGTGTGAGCCACTGTGCCTGGCCCACAGTAGCTTTATTCACAATAGCTAAAATTGTAAACAACCCAAATGAGTGAATAGTCAAAACATATAATGGAATACTACTCAACAATAGAAAGGAAATAATGAACACTCAGCAATGTGCATGAGTCTCATCATGCTGAGTCAAATAGAACAGACATAAAAGAGTACATACTGCATTTATATAAAATATTTACAAAGTCTAATCTAATCTATAGTAGCAAAAAGCAGACTAGTGGTTGACTGCAACCTGAGGAAGAGGGAAAGATGGACTGCAAAGGGACAAAAGCAATCTTTTGAAGGTGATGGGGATGTTCTACACCTTATTGCAGACATGGTTTCACAGGTTTACACTGTCTAAATTAATTGACTTGTACATATAAGTTGACACAATTATTGTATATAAGCTGAAACTAAATAAAAAGGATTAATAAAGAGTAGTAATTTGCATTTGTTAGACTCCCAGTATTTATAAATCAGTAAATTTAAAGGGGAATAAAGATATTTTCAAATTTCTCAGTCTGGAAAGATTATCTTCTTTGACTAAGGAGTTTGGAAAAAAATCACATAAGAAGTCATGTAAGAGAAAGACTACTTATTTAACGAGCTGTGACAGATCAATTTCTATGATTTAGCTACCAATTTGGTGACATATATTACAACCATTTCACAATCTCATAGTTAATTTGTTTTGTTTTTGTTTGTTTGTTGTTTTGTTTTAATGTACTTCACCATGTTCATACTTAGAGTTCCAAATAGACTGTTAAAATCCATGGGGTCAAGACCATTATATCTCATACCAGTGCTTTATAAAATACTTGAGTGAACGTTAACAAATGTAGGGTTTTCTTGTTAAATAAATTCAGAGAACACTGTGTAGAAACAAAATAAAAGGTTTGTATAGGTTTCTATATGAAGGAATTTTTGTAACTTACATTAATGGGTAATAAAAATATCCAGGAGAAACCTATGGTAGTATGTAAAAATTCTATTTTAAATTCCCAAACTCTAATCATGGAACATCTCAAAGACTAATATTCCTTTTCCACTTTGGAAAATGCTGTTGTATACTTTTTATATATGTTATGATACCTAGAAGAGGGTGATTGTCTACCAAATCTCTATCAATCAATTCTTAACTTATACACAAATTAGCTGGCCAAAATTCAATTAGGAAAAATCATAAAATAAATATATTTCCCTTGCTTAAAAATGAGTGTTTTAATTCTTTGCAGACAATTCTATACACCTAACATTAATTCATTAAATATAAATGATGCATGATTAGCTTTCTTAAAATGTATTTTATCAAAGAATTCAAAACTCTGTTTCAATCATGGAAATCACTTCTTTGTATCTAAAACAAATATAGGACTCAGGAAATAAAGATGATTTCAGTAAACACATATTTACAAAATTGAAAATGTTATCTAAGACAAATAACATTAATATTTATATAGTGCTTAAGCATCTATGAAGCATCTTCCACATACTGTAGCTCATTTAATATTCCCCCAAATTTTGGGAATTAGATATTATTATATCCTTATTAAGACAAAGAAAATGAGGCTCAAGGTCATATAATAACTTACAGAAACTGGGCTGAAATCTGGGGTTTCTAAATGTTGAATCAGTCCTTTTTAATTTTACTATTTTGACACTACAGGATAGTCATTATTGATGAACAAACAAAATTCTCTTTCTGAAATATAACTAACAAAGTTAAACAATTCTCTTATCAAAAAAATTATTAAGCATCTACTATGTGCCAGACTGATTTACTTGCTTGGGATAAAGCCGTGGAGAACTTGGTTCGTTTTTTAAAGTTGAAGTTGTCCTTTTCACCCTACTGGAGTAACAATTCTAGGCTATTTTAAAATTTCCTTTCTAAT